GGCCGGGGCCCTTTTAGATCTTTTAGGCATTCTTTATGCTAAGAGCCAGTAATCGACAAGACTTGTTTTTAACAAATCTGTTACTGAGCTGAGTTTCCTGAGTAACAGTGCCAGAAAAAGTTTCATTTCACTCATCGCTATTCTCCACTGCGTCGCTGAATGAGGCAGGACCTTCCTAAAAGGACGGAGAGCGCCCTGTTACTCAGCACGCACTGTGCTGAGCTCTTTATAACTAGTAACTGAATATCAACAGGTCAGAACCCCCCCCAGGCTCCTGGAGAGGCAGAAGGGGAAAGGGGGGGGGGGGGGCTGCAGAGACTTACTTAGATCCTACTCGAATCTTACAGTTGAGGTAATTGACCAGATCCGTGACACCTGGTCACATGGACTTGCCTCTACCAAGGGCCACTTGTTTCCAAAGAACCTACTCTTGAGGCTGGAGAGAGAGAGCTCAGCGGTTAAGAATACTTGCTGCTCTCACAGAGGACCTGGATTCAGTTATCAACACCCGCTTGGTGGCTTAAATATATGTGACTCCAGTTTCAGGGGATTGAGTACCCTCTTCTGGCCTTTGGGCCACCAGGCACGCATGCAACGCACTTCAATGCATTCAGACAAGACACTTACACACAAAGTAAAGTAAAAACCTTTTTAAATAAACTATTCTTTGAAACACCAAACTTAAAAGTTCCAAACTGCACTGTTTATTTTCCTGGATACAGAATACCCTTTAAATCTAAGGATTCTAGTTTTTATTTTTTTCCAGTTCTGCCAGCAATCAACTGTGATACTTGGAAAAGTTGCTAGAACTTTCTGTACCTCAATTTTCTCATACCTACAATAAGAATAATGAAAGTCCTTCACGTTATTCAATTAGTGTGAGCATTAAATGAATTAATACGTGGTAAGTGCTTAGAACTTGCCAGTCTGTGTACTAAGGGCTCAAAATGTCTGTTAACTGTTCTTATGGTTTAGTCACAAACATTTCCATGCAGTAATTTTGTGTTTTGGTTTTTTTGATATAGGGTCTCTTTGTGTAGTCCTGGCTGTTCTGGACCTCACTGTGTAAAACAGGCTGTCCTTGAACTCACAGAGCTCCTCCTGCCTCTGCCTCCTGAGTGCTAGAATTAAAGACAAGTGCCACCATATCTGGCCTCCATGCAATAATTTGACTACTTTTAGAATATCTTATTGTTGGATAACTTGATACATGTATACAATGTATCTTGATCATACCCATCCCCTATGCTTTCTGGGCGCCCTCCAGCCTGTCCTCCTCCCATCTCCATTGCCTTTCTGTGTATTTGTTTGGAACTCTAGTAGTGCTGGAATGTTTGCTGATCTTGTTGATTTGATCTTGAGCAGGTGACTATAACTGAGTGCACTCTAATCAGAAAGTGGTCCATTCCCCTCATAACCTTCATGTCACTATTGAACCAGTGAGCATAATTACCGTACTGTTTCAGAAGGAAACAGTCCTTAAAAAAAGGACCTGCTTTGACTTCTTATTTACAGTCTCATTCTTCCTGGTTATCCTGTCATCCTGAGAGTCCCTTTTCCATTACCTCTCTGCATATGTAATCATTAGTCATTGGACCATTTTCTAAAATCAGTGCCCTTCAGCAATTCCAGGTAGTGAAGATAGAATTTTCTAGGATATTAAAGACTAATTTTTCCCCTTTTCCATGTTCTATGTATCTTTTTTAAAAATGTTAATTTAGCTAGCATTTGCACTTCTAATGTAAGACAGCAGAGAATGTGACAAACCCAGATATCACAGGAGCTAAGGTATAAAGCTAGAGACTTTATAGATGCTATGAAAAATCTGAGTAAAATCAGAATATTAAGCAACAACTTGGAAATTCCACGTCCTTGATAGCATAAGGCTATGTAAGTGCACTTAGAAAATGAAGCACTTTCTTTTCTCATTTCACCATGAAAGTATTTTTTTTTTTTACTTTTTCATGTCTTATCCTGGCTTATTTAATCCTTGAATTGTGATTTTAATTAATTTTACTTTGGACATTTCTTTCTAGTTAAATTATATACTTCTTAAGAGTAGACATTTACCTTAAAACTGTGTGTGTGTGTGTGTGTGTGTGTGTGTGTGTGTGTGTATTCATTTTGATGAGTATTTTGTGTAGGCTCAAGACATTTCCCCTTCACCAAGCTAGGATACAGAGACCTATCCTTTACCTTGCCAGAGGTATTCATAAGGAACAGAGGAGACCATGAGTGTGGAGAGGCTTTTAAAACTGGAGCTTATCAATATCTATAGTACTTTCTACTTCACAGGCAATAATCAAAAGTGCCAAGGTGCTGTGTATGTACTACTGAGCTTTCAGGGGAAGCACTTACAGTGCCCTTCTCACTTGCAAATGGAGAGAGACTTGAGCATCTGCTCCCTATTGTCTGTGACCTGGCCTCTTTTCTTGAAGTTCTTAAAATACAACTGATACAATAGAGAAAGCCAAGTTTTGGAGTTTTTTTGTTTGTTTTTGTTTTCTGAGACAGGGTTTCACTGTATAGCCTTGGCTGTCCTGGAACTCACTCTGTGACCAGGCTGGCCTCCAACTCAAAGAGATCTACCTGCCTCTGCCTCCCAAGTACAGGGATTAAAGGCATGTACCACCTGGCGCCAAGTAGTTCTTAAATGTATTTCTTTACCCATATAAGTTCTGACTTTTCCCGTGTCTAAGTGTGAATTTGCATCTTTTCATTTTTGTTTCCTTAGACTGGCCCAAATAGGAGTCTAGCTAGTAATACACTGTGAGTATTTGACGCCTTGAGTAAAGAGAATGAGTTCTCCAATACTGGGTTTCTACTTGTGTGGGAGAAGTTTACAGAGGAAAAGGTGGGAGAGAGGCCCGATCAAGGAGCACCATCAGAAACAGACACATGCTTTGCCTTCAGGACATTTTAGGTCACATGGTGACGGGCAACTTAAAAATGAAATGAAAAACAGTGCTAATGTGAAGAAGTGTATAGAGAGGTATAAAATTAATTAGACTATCTCTTGAGACAAGGTTCATTACCAACAAAGTCTTGAAAGAAAATAACTCAGGTTTGAGAGAAATACACCCTTTACTTCAAGTACAACCAAACTCAAGTGGGTGTTTGTTGTGCTTCTTAAGTTCTAAGCTGGTTCTGATTCTTAAATTCAAGAGCTTGGCTCTGATCCTAATTTCAATGGCAAAGCATCGTGTACCCTAGCCAAATCACTTCCCTCTCTAAAACATCTGAAATGTGGAGAAAACAATGTCAGCTAACTTACAACTATATAATTCCTTCATCTATTTTGAAGTGTTTTTTAAAGCCAGAATAACTATCTCTACTTGTTGAAAGCATTTAAGTGGTTATTGTTTTAAGTAATAATGTTTATTAAACATACAGAGAAATACATCTTCCCCAGGACAATCTCTGATCTTTGCTAGATGTGTGATACGTTCTTTTCTGTCTTTACTTTGAGTCAAATATGCTGTTAACCATATCACCCCTCTCAGAGCAAACACTAAGCTCCTTCAGAACAATGGAAAACTATTAAGTTAAAAGTGGCTCAGCAGTCCAGTTTGTGGGGTGGGGAGACCACAGGCTTCCTAACAGTCCAATCTACCACAGTGCCTGCCACTTCACAGTGGTCTTACTTTAAGTGACAGTCAGTGTGTATGTGTGACCATGGATTTATTCCTAGGAACTGTTAAAGAACTAACTTTTTCAGATGAGTGACCCTGCTAAGAAAGTCAAACCATTTGAGGTCATGGTTGGGCTTATCAAGCTTCCTTGCTTGCATTCTGATATGCTTTTTAAAATGGTTGAAAATCATCTGGGATTTCTGTAAAGAATTGGTTAATAGGTAAAATGGATAAGGGCTCCTCAGCTGCAACTGAAGGGGAATTCTGGTGTGGGGGGGATTAGGAGCTTACCTTTTCTGGGATTTGTCAGTAAATCTTGGGAACAGAACAGGCAGTTCATCCCAAGGAACAAACCAGAGACTGTTGTCCTGAGTCACTCCCCCC